CGGAGACGGTGGAGCAAAGAACAGTCGTGGCGGTGCAGTGCCACCAGCACCAGCAGCTCCAGCACCCCCAGCAGCTCCAGCAACACCAGCAGCTCTAGAACCCTCAGCTCGAGCTCCTCCAGGATCAGCTCCACCAGCAGCAGCACCCCCAGAACCGGCACCCCCAGTCCCAGGGTCTCCAGTCGCAGTGGCTCCAGTAGCAGGATCCCCAGACCCGGGGGCTCCAGCAGCAGCACCCTCAGGCTCAGCACCTCCAGCCCCAGCAGCTCCAGTACCCCCAGTACGAGCACCTCCGGGACCAGCACCACTCCCAACTCCAGTGACGCCAGTAGAAGTACCTCCAGTAGCAGAGCCCTGTGCGCCAGAAGCGCGACCCTGACGGCGACCGTACCAGTCGTGCAGCTGCTGGGAGGTGAGAGGCACACGCGGACGAAGGCGGCTACTCCAAGGAGACCGCACAACAGCAGACTCAGAACCCTCAGCGCCCGCACCCCCAACGGCTCCAGAACCTCCTGGGTCAGCACCCTCAGCGCCAGCACCTCCAGCAGCTCCAGAACCTCCAGCGCCAGCACCCTCAGCGCCAGCACCTCCAGCAGCTCCAGAACCTCCAGCGCCAGCACCCTCAGCAGCTCCAGAACCTCCAGCGCCAGCACCCTCAGCAGCCGCAGAACCTCCAGTAGAAACAGCTCTAGGAGCAGAATCATCAGCTCCAGCACCTCCTATAGGAGGGCCCCTAGCTCGAGCAGCGCGACCCTGACGGCCAAGGTACCACTCAAGCAGCTGCACTAAGGAGAGAGGGAGTCGACGACGAGAGGGCAGCGGCGAGGCACCAGCGGAGCGACTGCGGAGACGGCCGCTCCAGGGAGACTGCTCACCAGACGCCTCAGCACCCCCAGGTGCAGCACCCCCAGACTCAGTACTGCCAGACTCAGCACCCACAGACTCCTCACACGCAGGCTCAGCACCTCCAGGCTCCACACCCTCAAGCTCCGCACCCCCAGGCTCAGTACCTCCAAGCTCAGCACCCCCAGGCTCCGCACCCCTAGGCTCAGCACCCCAAGAGGTAGCACCCCGAGCAGGACCACCTCCAGCAGGACCTGAGTCACCAGTGACCTCAACCGGCGCAGGGAAGGGAGGAGGGTCTACCTGAGACACACCTGAGGGAGCAGGACAAGGAGCTGGGAGGGGGTCTACCTGGGGAGCACCTGGAGCGAGGAAGAGCGGCGGGGGAGGGAGAGGGGCAGTGCGGTAGGGGAAGAGACGGTAAAAGGGAACCGACTCATCGAACGTGACGTCCTGAGACGCAAAGACACGGCGCGAGGTGGGGTGGTAAAACTGCCAACCAGGCGCGTCAGGGACAAAGCCAAGGAAGACACAGGGAACAGCGCGGGCGGAGAGCTTGTCCGCAGTGGTATCGCGGACAAAGGCACGAGCACCCCAGACCCAGAAACGCGACGCATCGCCAACCTTCCCCGTCCACAGCAGCGTGGGCGAGGTCTCCGGCAAGGAGACACGGGGCCAGAGGTTGAGCTGATGCGCGGCGTACCGGACCGCAAACGGCCACAGAAAATGGGGGGCAGCCGCATGGATCATGGAGGTACGAGCGACCTCCATGACTAAGCCAATGCGGCGCTCAGCAACCCCATTCTGCTGCGGAGAGGCCGGAAGCGTGAATGTCTGGCGGATGCCGTGCTCCGCACAGAAGGCTGCCAAGAGGTCGGAGGTGAACTCACCACCTCTGTCAGAGTGCAGACGCAGGACAGGAAAGTCCCGCTCGAACCGCTCGCGGAGCTGGAGACGAACAGCGCGGATCCAAGGGATCAAAACATCAGGGACGTCCCCCTTGCGCTGCAAGGGAAAGACCGTGGTGTAACGCGTGTAGTCGTCAACGACCAGCAGGAAGTACCGCTCGTGGCCCTGTCCACGGACGCGGGCTGGGCCCCACACGTCCAGGTGGAGAGTCTGCAGGGGAGCCTCTGTGGGAGGGAACGAGGAGGAGTGAGGAGCGGCGCGCTGCCGCCCCTCGACGCAAGGAATGCAGGGCGGCGCAAGCGAGGGAGGGAGGGCAGGCAAAGACCTGGGAAGACCAGAAACCAGGGAGCGAGAGTGCATGCCACGCAGGCGAGGCAGGGAGGGGTGACCAAGGCGGTGGTGCCACAAGAGGGTCTGGTGCGACAAAGCGCGACACTCGCAGGGGGCCGCCAGCTGACCTGACGCAGACGCAGACGCAGCTACCTGAGGGGACACAGTGGTCAGTGTGTACAGACTCGAGCCAGGCGCACGGGTAAACGTGGCCAGGTGGCGGCCCCCCACTCACTGTACACGTACAGTGAGTCACTCGCTGACTCGCAGGAGTGAACTGGTCAACCCCCCCATCCTGGAGGTCAGCTCCACTCACCAAGTTCGTAGAGAACGAGGGGAGGTAAAGACCTGACAGCAAGCCAGACGGGACGGCCGGACACGGCAGAACCGTGGAGTAGTGGGCAAGGACTGGACCCCCGGAGGGGTCCGCCAGGGAGACTGGAACTGGCCGACGAAGCGGCGTGAGTGTGGTGCAGTCACGAAAGAAGGAGCGGGAAGCTCCTGAGTCAAGGGTGAAGGTGTGCAAGGCCGCAGCAGGCGCAGTACCAGAGAGAGCAGACTCACTAGCACCTGGAGCAGCAGCCTCACCAGTACCTAGAGCAGGAGACGTACGAGCACCCAGAGCAGCAGCCTCACGAGCACCTAGAGCAGGAGACGCACTAGCACCTAGAGCAGCAGCCTCACCAGCACCTAGAGCAGGAGACGCTATACCAGGGTCAGGCGGTACGCACAGGTAACAGGCACGGTCAACACTAGTAGGCAATGCATACATGGCAGTGAGAATAGCATCATAGTCAAGATCAAAGGTAGCTGCCCTCTGTCCAAGCAGCTCGACCCAGGTAGGGAGCTCAGCCTCGTCGCCAAACACGGTACGCCAGGCGTCGCTCAGACGGGCGAAGCAGCGGGACTGTGTGTGACCAAGCGTCCCGCAAGGCTGACCAGTCCTATCACCTGTGCGAATGACGTACGGGCAGCGAACTGTTCGCGAAGACCTGCTACTCTGAGCGTACCACTCATGGAGCTGCTGGGACGTAAGTGTCTCGCGTGGACGCCGCTGCAGCTGCAGCTGGCCACTGCCAGACGCCCCCAACTGACCAGCTCCAGGGCGACAGCTACGACGGCTACCGCGACAGCCCCAACTAGTATACCACTCACTAAGCTGCTGGGGCGTGAGAGACTCGCGTGAACGTCGCTGGAGCTGCATCTAGCCACCTGCTAATAGCAGGACGGGCAGGGCAGGCGCGGCAGGCAGGCAGGCAGGCAGGCACGCAGGCAGGCAGGCAGGCAGGCAGGCAGGCCGGCAGGCAGGCAGGCAGGCAGGCACGCAGGCAGGCAGACAGGCAGGCAGGCAGGCAGGCAGGCAGGCCGACAGGCAGGCAGGCAGGCAGGCCGGCAGGCAGACAGGCAGGCAGGCAGGCAGGCCGACAGGCAGGCAGGCAGGCAGGCAGGCCGGCAGGCAGACAGGCAGGCAGGCCGGCAGGCAGGCAGGTGCTCACCAAAGGCTGGAAGGGCAGGCGCTCGGCGGGCGAGCAGGGCCGGCGCTCGGCGGGCGGCGGCCGGGTAGGCGCACGACGGCGGCGACGGCGGGGCCGCAACAGCGGCTGCAGAGTAGGGCCGCAGCAGCTGCAGAGCGGGGCCGCATCAGCGGCAGGTCGGGGCCGTGGCAGCTGCAGGGCAGGGCCGCATCAGCGGCAGGTCGGGGCCGAGGCAGCTGTAGGGTGGGGCCGCGGCAGCGGCAGGTCGGGGCCGCTTCCGTGGCCTGGCGGGTCTGCTGGAGCGGTGCGCGTGGCAGCAGCGGGCCGCGCGCGGGCTCGAGGCGGGCTGCGGGAGGCAGCAGTGGGCTGCTTGCGGTTCGGCGCGGGCTGCGAGGGCCGCGCGCGGCTCGGCGCGGGCCGCGCGCGGGCTGCGTGAGGCAGCAGCGGGCTGCGCGCGGCTCGGCGCGGGCTGCGCGGGCTCGGCGCGGGCTGCGCGCGGCAGTAGTGGGCTGCGCGCGGCTCGGCGCGGGCTGCGCGGGCTCGGCGCGGGCTGCGCGCGGCAGTAAAGGGCTGCGCGCGGCTCGGGGCGGGCTGCGCGGGCTCGGCGTGGGCTGCGCGCGGCAGTAGCTGGCTGCGCGCGGCTCGGCGCGGGCTGCGCGGGCTCGGCGCGGGCTGCGCGTGGCAGTAGCGGGCTGCGCGCGGCTCGGCGCGGGCTGCGCGGGCTCGGCGCGGGCTGCGCGCGGCAGCAGCGGGCTGCGCGCGGCTGTAGCGGGCTGCACGCGGCTCGGCGCGGGCTGCGCGGGCTCGGTGCGGGCAGGAAGGCGTGCGCGGGCTGCAAGGGCGACGCGCACGGGTCAACAGCAGACAGGGCGTGTGAATTAGGTCTGCGTGCTAAGCAGCAGCAGACAGCGCAGACAGTAGAGAGCAGGTAGACGGTGCGCGTAGCGCTGGACGTCACAGTCACAGTCACAGGCTCATTCGTGGGGTAGCGGTAGGTGGGCCCGAAAAAAAAAAAAACACGGTCCTCCGGACTTACTGCTCTGAAACCATGTTAGAAACTAGAGACAGGAATGACTGAACTAGCTGCATACAGGAGTACAAGTAGTAAACCCTAACTGGGTTGTACCCCATATGGGCTACCCCACTACAGCCTAGACAATATGTAGCACTTATAGTTTGACACCCCGAGCACTGGGCGCAGTGCTGCCCCCTCCAGTCGGGGACCTCGCTCGGCCGGTCGCGACGTTGGTCCCTGTGAGTACTGGATCCTTACGGGTCCACGTAGGGACTCGTACTGTGGCCGCCCTGACCACTCTGCTGCACGCTGCTTCAGTCGTCTCGACGACCTCTACCGCTTCCACCACGGCCCCTCCGCTCCCCCGCCGCCGCGTTGGGGGACACTTCTTGCTCGTGGTATCTCTGTTTTTGATATGACTATGGATGATGCTAGGTCTTATGCCATGTATGCTGATGTTGACTATAGTGCTCCTGGATCTGTGTACTTGCCTGTGCCTAGCGTAGGCTCTAGCTAGGTGCTAGTGTAGGATCTTGTTTAGCTACTAGTACAGGTGCTCCCTCGGCGGACGCGTCTCTCTCCTTCACACTGGACTCGGGAGCGTCGCACTGCTTCTTCCGCGACCGCACGACTCTCTCTCCACTGCCGGCGCCAGTCCCTGTAGCACTGGCCGATCCCTCTTCGGGACCGGTCATTGCGACTCACGCCACTACGCTCCCGTGCCCGGCTGCTCCTTCCGGTTCCCTGACTGGCCTCCACGTTCCTACGTTCTCTAGGAACCTGGTTGGTGTGGGCCCCCTGGCGAGACAGCACGTCGGAGTCTGGGTTGAGCCTTCTGGTGACACCGCGGTCTGTGTGGACGGTGACACGTACGCCCCCTTGGCCACTTTTCGCCAGGAGCCGGGCTCCGGTCTGTACACCCTCCACACCGACCCCCGTCAGGTTCCTCCGTCCCACCAGGTAGCCAGGTCCAGTCAGGTTGCTGTGTCCGGTCCCGTTGCTGCGTCGTGCTCGTGTCGGTCGCTTGCCCACCCCTCCCTCCTCTGGCACCACCGCCTTGGTCACCCGTCCCTCCCTCGTCTTCGCGCTATGTCCAGTCAGCGTCTTGTCTTAGGCCTCCCCCGAGTCCTTCCGCCGCTCCCGTGGTCCCCAGCTCCTCCTTGCGGTCCTTGTGTCCAGGGTCGGCTGCGCGCCACCCCTCACTCCTCCTCCCTTCGTCCGGCCACCGAGCCCTTTGAGACACTCCACTTAGACGTCTGGGGCCCCGCTTCCCGCCTTGGCCCTGAGCGGGAGAGTTTCTTTCTGGTGGTCGTTGACGACTACTCTCGGTACACCACCGTGTTCCCTTTGGCGAAGAAGTCCGACGTGACTTCTACGCTGATCCGGTGGCTGCTCGCCACCGAGAGTACTCGCCGTCGTCGTGTCAGTTGTCTCCACTCCGACCGTGGGGGTGAGTTTCGCTCCGGCGTTCTCGCCAGATTCTGTGCTGAGCAGGGCATCTCCCAGTCCTGGACTCTTCCAGACTCTCCACAGCAGAATGGGGTTGCTGAGCGCCGCTTAGGCCTGGTCATGGAGATTGCCCGCACCTCCATGATCCACGCCCGCGCGCCCCATTTTCTGTGGCCCTACGCGGCTCGGTACGCCGCTCACCAGCTGAACCTCTGGCCTCGTGTCTCTCGGCCAGAGGCTTCACCGACCAGTCTTTGGACAGGGTCCCCTGGTGTAGCGTCGAGGTTTAGTGTCTGGGGCTGCTTGGCTCTTGTCCGCGACACCTCTGCGGACAAGATCTCACCTCGCGCCGTTCCCTGTGTCTTCCTTGGTTTCCCAGAGGACTCCTCTGACTTCACCTTTTACCACCCTCCCTCCCACCGGTTCTTTGACTCTCGTGACGTCCGTTTCGACGAGTCCGTCCCCTACTACGTCCGGTACCCCTGTCGAGGTCTCCCGGTTCCCCCCCCTCCCCTCTTCCTGGCTCCAGCTCCTCCTCCTCCCGCCCCTGCTCCTCCGGTACCCCCCCCTGTTCCCGCTCCGTCTGGTGTGTCCCACGCTACTCCCCCCCCCCCTCGGTACCCCCCCAGGTCTCTCCTCCTTCCCCACAGTCGTCCTCACAGCCTCCGCAGCAGCCGTCAGCGCTTCCTTTACCGGCCACTGCGGACTCTGAGGGTGTTGGTGCTCGAGGTGAGGGCTCTGGCGGTGCTCGCTCTGGGGGTGCTGGCGTTGGAGCTGTTCGTGCACCTACAGGAACGGCCCGTCCTGGGGGTGTTGGCGTTGGCGCTGAGCGTGCACCTGCCGCAGCTGCCCGTTCCGAGGGTACTGGAGCTCGTGGTGGTGCTGGAGCTAGTGGTGTTCCTGGAGCTGGAGGGTCTGGGACTGGTGCTGGTGCCACTGGAGGCACCACGTCTGGTGCGGGTACACCTCCTACAGGTGCTGGTCGTGCTGTCGCAGGGGGTACTCGCTCTGGGGGTGCTCAGCCGGGTACTGTCGAGGGCGGAGCTGGTTCTTCTTCTTCGTCTCCTGACACCACTCCTCCTCCTCACCCCTACCCTACTCGTTACCAGGCCCTTCTTCGTGTTGAGCGTGAGAAGCAGAAGCGTTTGGAGCGTGAGAGGTTGGAGGTTCAGCGGCGGGTGGAGCGTGAGCGGTTGGAGTTGCAGCGGGAGCAGCAGCAGCAGCAGCAGCAGCAGCAGCAGCAGCAGCAGCAGCAGCAGCAGCAGCAGCAGCAGCAGCAGCAGCAGCAGCAGCAGCAGCAGCAGCAGCAGCAGCAGCAGCAGCAGCAGCAGCAGCAGCAGCAGCAGCAGCAGCAGCAGCAGCAGCAGCCGCCGCCGCAGCAGCAGCAGCAGCAGCAGCAGCAGCAGCAGCAGCAGCAGCAGCAGCAGCAGCAGCAGCAGCAGCAGCAGCAGCAGCAGCAGCAGCAGCAGCAGCAGCAGCAGCAGCAGCAGCAGCAGCAGCAGCAGCAGCAGCAGCAGCAGCAGCAGCAGCAGCAGCAGCAGCAGTAGCAGCAGCAGCAGCCCGCCGCCACCGCAGCAGCAGCAGCAGCCGGAGCAGCCTCCGGCCCCTGTTTCTGGCCTTCGGGCCCTTGGTCTCCCCTCCTCTCCTCCTGTGTTTGGTCCTACGTTTCCTCCTCCGGACTCCGCTCCGGCTGTGTTCCCTCGTCCTCAGTCTCCTCCGTCTCCCTCTCCTCTCGCCCACACTTGGGCCTCTCGTCCTCCTCGTGCTCGTCCTTCGTCACCTGTCACTGACCTCCGTACTGTGTTGTTCCGTCCTAGTCCTCCTCGTTCTCCTCCGTCTGTCCTTCCTCGCCCTCCTGAGTCGTCTCTCACTGCCTCCCTGTCCACTCCGGTCACTGACTACTACCGCACGTACCGCCCCACTCTCTCTCGTGTTCTCGCCTCTCTTGTTACAGACCCCCGTGCCTCTCCTTCCTCCGTCGCGGTCCTCACTGCCGCTGTCACTGACTTTACTGCTACGCGTCGCCTTGACTACGCCACTCGTGTTGTGGCCGCTCCTCCTGTCCGTCCTCTGTCCGCCGGGGGTGAGTCTGCCCTTGGCTGTGACGTCCTAGAGGATAGACAGTTTGAGCTAGAGTTCCTGGCAGCTGCTTCGCCTCATCTCTGTGCCATGCTGCTCGCTCCTGAGGGAGACCCCGACGCTCCTGACATACCTACTCCTCGCACTTACGCTGAGGCAGTGTCAGGGCCTTGGGCCTCTCAGTGGAGAGTTGCCATGGACGCAGAGATGGCCTCCTACAGGTCCACAGGCACTTACGTTGATGAGGTTCCCCCCCAGGGGAGAACATAGTTGACGGCATGTGGATCTTCAAGGTGAAGTGGCCGCCGGGATCTCCCCCAGTCTTCAAGGCACGCTACGTGGCTAGAGGGTTCAGTCAGCGCGAGGGGGTTGACTTCTTTCAGACCTTCGCGCCCACCCCGAAGATGACCACTCTTCGGGTGTTACTTCACGTAGCGGCGCAGAGGGACTACGAGCTACACTCCCTCGACTTCTCCACCGCCTTCCTGCAGGGCAGCCTACACGAGGAGATCTGGCTGCGTCGTCCTCCGGGCTTCACTGGCACCTTCCCGCCTGGGACCCAGTGGAGCCTCAGACGACCGGTCTACGGTCTCCGTCAGGCACCCCGTGAGTGGCACGACACTCTCCGCTCTACTCTGTCCGACCTCGGGTTTGAGCCGTCTTCCGCCGACCCGTCGCTGTTTGTTCGTCGTGGGCGCACACCTTTCTTCGTTCTGGTCTACGTTGACGACTTGGTTTTTGCCACAGCCGACACAGTTGCACTGGCGGAGGTGAAGTCCGAACTGCAGAAGAGACACACTTGCACTGACCTTGGTGAACTGCGCCACTACCTTGGCCTGCAGATCTCGAGGGACAGAGCCGCTCGCACCATCACTCTGACTCAGTCACACATGGTGCAGCAGGTCCTTCAGCGGTTCGGGCTTCAGCACTCCTCTCCTACACCCACCCCTCTTGCTGTAGACCACAGACTCACTGGGCCTTTTCCTGACGAGCCGTTCGAGCCCAGTGGTCCCTACGCAGAGCTGGTGGGCTGCCTCATGTACCTGATGACGTGCACTCGCCCGGACCTCGCCTTCCCTCTTAGCATCCTTTCTCGCTTTGTTGCGACTGGGAGACACCGTCCTGTTCACTGGACGGCGGCTAAGAGGGTGGCGAAGTACCTTGCCACGACATCAGACATGGGGCTTGTACTTGGAGGGACACAGCCAGTTGTACTCACCGGTCACTGCGACTCCTCCTACGCCGACGACGTTGAGACTCAGAGGTCTACGCAGGGTTACTGTTTCAGTCTGGGCTCTGGAGCTGTTTCGTGGAGGTCTACTCGGTCCTCCTCTGTTGCGACTTCTACCGCAGAGGCCGAGATCTACGCTGGAGCCCTTGCTGCACAGGAGCTACGCTGGTTGACCTTCTTGCTCACTGACCTTGGTGAGCGGCCGAGCTCTGCACCGACCTTGTTTGCTGACAACAAGGCAATGATTCTCCTGTGTCGTGAGCCTCGACTAGAGAGCAGAGTGAAGCACATCGACGTCAGGTACTTCCTCCTTCGAGAGTTGCAGAGACGCGGTCAGGCGCGTCTGGACTTCGTGGCCTCCGAGGCCAACACTGCAGACATCTTCACCAAGGCCCTTCAGCCTTGTGACCACCGCCGGTTTTGTCTGCAGTTAGGCCTCGTTGAGACTGGGTCTAGTAGACTGCAGTAGTGAGTTCTTGCCCCTTGTTTGTTTGTACTATATATATTAGCTTGTACTCTCTTGAACTGGCCTTGTGGCCTCTTGTTTGTGCTCAGACTGGTGGTGACGTTGTGATCCACCCTGAGCTCTGTTTGCTCTCTTGCTTGTGACTGGTCTTGTGACCTTAGGTTGTGTTTTGTTGCTTGGCATTCCCCACTTAGGCTATGGGGGTGTGTCAAATGTTATAGCCTCTAGTGGGACATGCTATATGGGGTACAAACAGTTAGGGTTAGGCATTTGTACCCCAACACAGTCAATCTAACTCATTCCGCTGTTTTCACTTTGCGAGAAATGTTACTTGTACCCAACCTTCTTTCAATGCACTCATTCTTGCCTAGACTTTCTAACATGGTTTCAGAGCGGTTCGTCCGTTAGGACCGGATTTTTTTTTCCTGGGCCCACCGAACGCCTGCCTGCCTGCGGTTATTGCGCTGCCCCACACGCGCCCTGCCTTGCCTGCTTGTCGCACCGCCCCTACGGCCCGCGCCTGCCTTGCCTGCCCGCCGTGTCGCCCTAAGCCCGCGCCCGGCCCCACCCGCTTGCCAGTCGCGTCGCCCTAAGGCCCGCGCCCGGCCCCCTGCCTGCCCGTCGCGTCGCCCTATGTCAGAATGTTATTATTGTCTAGCCTGCAGTGGGGTACTCTATAGCGAGTACAACCCAATTAGGGTTTCCTATATGTATGCCAACTGCTGCTAGTGCAAACCCTCCTTTCTTCATTCTTGTTTCTGTCTGCTAGTTTTGACACCCTAAGCCCGCGCCCGGCCCCCTGCCTGCCCGTCGCGTCGCCCTAAGCCCGCGCCCGGCCCCCTGCCTGCCCGTCGCGTCGCCCAAAGGCCCGCGCCCAGCCCCCTGCCTGCCCGTCGCGTCGCCCTAAGCCCGCGCCCGGCCCCCCCGCCTGCCCGTCGCGTCGCCCTAAGCCCGCGCCCGGCCCCCTGCCTGCCCGTCGCGTCGCCCTAAGCCCGCGCCCGGCCCCCTGCCTGCCCGTCGCGTCGCCCAAAAGCCCGCGCCCGGCCGCCTACCTGCCCGTCGCGCTGCCCTACGCCCGCGCCCGGCCACCTGCCTACCCGTCCCGGAGCCCTTCAGCCCGCGCGACCCCGCCCTACCGCCGCAGCGGCTCCACCGGGTCGCGGCCCCGCCCTGGCGCCGACGTGGCCCTGCCCTGCTGCCGACGCGGCCCGTGCGGCGCCGCCCTACCGCCGACGCGGCCCAGCCGGGTAGCGGCCCCGCCCTGCCACCGGCGCGGCCCCGCCCTGCCACCGACGCGGCCCAGCCTGGCCCGCCCTGCCGCCGCCACGGCCCCGCCCTGCAGCTGACACGGCCTTCCTCTGCAGCCACGTTTGTGGCCCCGCTGCCCGCCGAGCGCCGGCCCTCCCCGCCACCGGCGAGCACGCTGCCGCGCCGCCAGCCTGCCAGCCTGCCTCCCTGCCTGCCTACCTGCCTGCATGCCTGCCTGCCTGTCTGCCTGCCTGCCTGTCTGCCTGCCTGCCTGCCTGCCTGCATGCCTGCCTGCCTGTCTGCCTGCCTGCCTGCCTGCCTGTCTGCCTGCCTGCCTGCCTGCCTGCCTGCCGGCCTGCCTGCCTGCCTGCCTGCCTGCCTGACTGCCTGCCTGCCTGCCTGCCTGTCTGCCTGCCTGCCTGCCTGCCTGCCCGCCTGCCTGCCTGCCTGCCTGCTTGCCTGCCTGCCTGCTGCGCTGCTGCTTCTGCTCCTACTGCTGCTCCTTCTTCCAGTGCTGCTCTTGGCGGTGGCCACATGCAGCTCAAGTGCCGTCCGCGCGAGTCTCTCACGCCCCAGCAGCTTCGTGAGTGGTACGCTAGTTGGGGTTGTGGCGGTAGCCGTCGTGGCTGTCGCCCTGGAGCTGGGCAGTCGGGAGCGTCTGGTAGTGGCCAGCTGCAGCTGCAGCGGCGTCCGCGTGAGACACTTACGCCCCAGCAGCTTCATGAGTGGTACGCTCAGAGTGGGGGGTCTAGGAGTACCGTTCGCTGCCCGTACGTCATTCGCACAGGTGCTCGGACTGGTCAGGCTTGCGGGACACTTGGTCACACACAGTCCCGCTGCTTCGCCCGTCTGAGCGACGCCTGGCGTACAGAGTTTGGCGACGCGGCTGAGGTCCCCTCCTGGCTGGAGCTGCTTAGGCAGATTGTAGATATCTTTGCTCTTGACTATGATGCTATTCTCACTGCCATGTATGCGTTGCCTACTAGTGCTGATGGTGCCTGTTACCTGTGCGTACCGCCTGACCCAGGTATAGAGCCTGCTGCTCTAGGTGCTGGTGAGGCTGCTGCTCTCGGTGCTAGTGCGTCTCCTGCTCTAGGTGCTGGTGAGGCTGCTGCTCCAGGTGCTTGTGAGTCTGCTGCCCTAGGTGCTGGTGAGTCTGCTCTCTCTGGTACTGCGCCTGCTGAGGCCTTGTACACCTTCACGCTTGACTCAGGTGCTTCCCGCTCCTTCTTTCGCGACTGCACCACACTCACACCGCTTAGTCGGCCCGTTGCAGTCTCCCTGGCGGACCCCTCTGGGGGTCCAGTCCTTGCCCACTACTCCACGGTTCTGCCGTGTCCGGCCGCCCCGTCTGGCTCGCTGTCCGGTCTCTACCTCCCCTCGTTCTCTACGAACTTGGTGAGTGGAGCTGACCTCCAGGATGGCGGGGTTGACCAGTTCACTCCTGCGAGTCAGCGAGTGACCCACTGTACGTGTGCTCGGACGGGCCGACACCTTGCCACGTTTACCCGTGCGCCTGGCTCGAGTCTGTACACCCTGACCACTGAGTCCCCTCAGGTAGCTGCGTCTGCGTCTGCGTCAGGTCAGCTAGCGGCCCCCTGCTCGTGTCGCGCTTTGTCGCACCAGACCCTCCTTTGGCACCACCGCCTTGGTCACCCCTCTGTGCAGCGCCTTCGTAGCATGCACCGCCGTGTCCTTGTCTCTGGTCTTCCCAGGGTTCTCCCTCCCCTCCCACCCTCGCCTGCTCCTCCCTGTCTTCCCTGTGTCGAGGGGCGGCAGCGCGCCGCTCCTCACTCCTCGTTCCCTCCCACAGAGGCTCCCCTGCAGACTCTCCACCTGGACGTGTGGGGCCCAGCCCGCGTCCGTGGACAGGGCCACGAGCGGTACTTCCTGCTGGTCGTCGACGACTACACGCGTTACACCACGGTCTTCCCCTTGCAGCGCAAAGGGGAGGTCCCTGATGTTTTGATCCCTTGGATCAGCGCTGCTCGTATCCAGCTCCGCGAGCAGTTCGGGACGGAGTTTCCCGTCCTGCGTCTGCACTCTGATAGAGGTGGTGAGTTCTCCTCAGACCTCTTGGCAGCCTTCTGTGCGGA